GCGCCCGCGCCGCCGCCACCACTACCACCGGGCGGCCGGATGAAGGCGTCGCGCCGCATGACGCGCGTCGTCTCGATGGTGAGCACCTCGCCCGGCGGCAGCAGTTTGGTGCTCATCATGTTGGCCCGCAGCGTCTTGAGCGCCGCAAACGCCCACTTGTCGTCCCCTCCGTCCTCGCCGCCCTGCTTTTTGCCCAGGTGTCGGGGACCGGCTGGTCCGTCGCCGTCGTTTCCACCGCCGCCACCCATGTTGCCGCCGCCACCGCCGCCGCTGCTGCTGCTGCTGCTGCCGCTGCCGGGCCCGTCGTTGTCGTCGACGCTGTTGTGGTACCAGGACCGCGCGAGCCCGTCCTGGAAGGCGGCCCAGAGCCTCTGCCGCAGTTCCATCTTGGCGTCGATGTTGTCGTTCTTGATGGCGAGCGCGACCGCCTGGAGGTCGTGCAGGACGCCCAGGGACAGGTGCGGCACCAGGTCGTTGCCCTGCACCACGCTCGTGATGAGGCCGCGCGTCGCCTTGCGCAGCGACGCCGACATGGTGCCCGGCGGGCCGTAGGCGAACACGTGGATCGGCCGCCCGGCCGGCAGGCGGAGCTCGCGCGTGGTCCGCTCCGACGACGCGGGCCCTCCCGAGGTCGCGGGCGTCGAGGACGACGACGAAGACGACGACGACGAAGACGACGACGACGACGACGGCAGTGCGGCTGGCGCTGATGACGCGCCCGACGTGACGAAACAGGCCCCCGTAACGGCCGGCTCCGAGAGCATGACGCCCAAAAGGGCCGTGACGCCGCCGCCGAGGGAGTGTCCGCACAGGACGAGCCCGTAGTCCGGGTACTCTTCGAGAGCCGCCTTGAGTGTCGCCAGGACGCGCCCGTCGCCGCCATAGAGCAACCGGCGTGCCGAGGCGTGTATGCCCTTGTGCACCTTGTAGTGTCGCCCACGCCATAGCAGATCGTCATAGTCGCACGTCATGTCCGCCAGCACGTCCTCGAAGCCCAGAGTGCCTCGGCAAGCAAGCACGACAGCCTTGGCCTCCTTGTCGATGGAGATGTAGTGCACAAGAGGCACACCCGTGTTCGTGGCTCCCGTAGAGTCCGATCCGCCCTGGGGGTCAACAAAGGACGAGAGCAGGATCGAGTTGGCCTCCGACTCGGTGTGATGGGCGTACGATGTCAGCTCGTGGTGCGTGTCGTCGTCGAGCACCTGGAGCAGCGACATCTTCTTGGAGATGCCCATGACCTTCAAAAAGCTAGACCCGTACGAGGCCGACGAGAAGAGCATGTATCGCGTGATGTTGCGCAACAGGTGGCCGCGAGGGAACATGCCCTGAACCATGCCGGTCCGCCTGAGGCCGTTGAGAGCATCCGTGTCACCGTAGGCGCTGCGCGTAAAGTAGGACGAGAGAACCAGAGACGTCTGCGAGTCGCTGGTTTTGAGCGTGTATATGCTGGGGTTCTGCGACCGGACACGCCGATGGTGTTTGCCAGGCGATGACGGCGAGCCCATGAAGGGGTTGTGATCCGAGATGTCCTTGTCGGAGCGGGATTTCGACATGGAAGGCCCACCCGCCCCGTGCGAGCGACCACTGGCAGAAGCCATGGGGCCCGACAGGTCGCCCCTGAGGAGAGTAGGACTGATTGGGCGGCTGCTGTCAATGGTGTGAATAGAAAAGGTATCGCTTTGGGAGACGAGCGAGTCCCGCTTCCTCTCGTGTACGGCCACATAACTGGTTCTGGACAACGACCTTGGGATAGCCTCGGGCGGAACCATATTCTGCCGGGCCAGCGCCTTTCCGGCGCTGCCGGCCGCCTTGTTGGGTGGCGGCGGGGCCTCACGCCTCGGAATCATCGAGGGTAGCCTGCCAGGGACTGCAACCTGCTGCGACTGCTGCTGTGGAGGCTGCTGTTGCTGGCGTGGCTTTGCCTGCGTGAATGTGCTATATCCAGGCGCGACGGGGCTAGCGGGCGCAGTCCTAGCCCTCCGGAACGATGTCCGCGGCAGCCCTTCATTGTCGCTGGCCTCCTTCCGTAGCAGGTTCGACAGTGCCGGACCAGGCCCCTTTTTCAGCGCCGTTCGGAAGCCACCCTTCTTGTGGTCGGTCGACTTGGCCGCCTGTTCAGCCCTGGGCCTTTTCATCGGCGGCTTGCTTGGCGACGGTTCGGCACCAATGCTTGGGCTCGATGGTTTCAGGGGCGTACGCTGACGCTTCTGGTTGGCCGATTCGGGTGAAGGCTTGGAGACGGGGAGCTGGGAAGTTCGTGACGGGGTAGCCATGGGCACGGCTGGCGACGTGGGCTGGGGTATCCTCGAGGCGTCCACAAGTGTCGCGGGGCTCTTGGGTGGCACTGGAGGGCGCAGCTCTTGCTCGTCATCTGTGCTGTCGTCCCCATCGCTACTGCTCTCTCGCAGCTGCTCAACAAACCCGACCGGTTCCTCATCGAGCGCGGGCTGGAGCTCACCCTCGTTCCTACAAAAGTCGGTGGCACGAAAGGTGTTGCGGTCCACCCTGTAAACGAAGCGGTAGCTCGAGCCGTCGGCGACGGACCCGCTCTGGCGCCGCTCGCTGGACCGGCCCGGCCTGGACGGCCCATGCTCCAGTAGCTTCGCCCCCGGGGGCGGAGACAGCGGTGGCGGGCTGGCTCCCTGTATGTCAACCGTGATGATTTTGCTGGTCGTGGTCTCTGTCATGATGGACACCTTGGCATCGTCGGGCAATGACCGCAGGATCTGCTGCTTGAGGTGGATTTCGGGCAAATCTTGATCACTGTCGCTGCTTTGCTGGGCGCTGTGGTTTTGTATCATGCTCATCATGTCGGCACCGCCGTGGTCCAGGGGAACCGTCTCGTCGGCCGGTCGGGTATAGTTGCCGTTGTGGACACCATAGAGACTATCCTGGTGTAGGGCATATCTCTAAAGGAGGGAACAGAAAGAAACTCTGGTTAGCACGTATGCCACACGCCTAATTCGACAAGGCGCACCCAGGTCTGGGGGAGACCCAAGGTCTGGGGGAGCTTACCTCTCCACCTGTGGCGACGACGACGTCCCAAACCACCTCTTCCACCTCCAGCTTGCGATTCTCTTCCTCGACGAGGTCACTGCACCACCTCTGCAGGTAGGCCATGCCGCAGAGGCCGAGGAATAGGTCGATGATGCCGACCCGCTCCCCCTCGGCGCCCGTGGCCGGGTTCTGGAACTCCCTGCGGATCAGGGTGAAGATGCTGGCGATTGCGCGCGACGACTCGGTGGAGCCGAGCAGCTGGTCGGCAAAGGACAGGAGGAGCTGGGTGACCTCGTGGACGCTCGAGGCCGTCGTCTCGACAAGCTGGAAGCTCGTGGCGGTCAGGAAGGCGGCGCCGGTGATGGTGCGGTGGATGGTGGCGAGGCCGCGCTCGAGCAGGTTCTCCGTCTCGGCGCGCCCAAACTCGGTGCTGTTGGTGGCCAGCAGGTCCTTGCCGGCCCGGCTGAGGATGCCCTCGACGACGACGCGGCCGAGGTCGAAGCCCGAGAGCGTGGCGGCCTTGCCGGCGTGGAAGGTGTAGCCGCCGATCGAGGTGCCCAGCCGGAGGAAGAGGCTGGCCGAGCGGGTGGACAGGGTGACCGCCTGGGCGAAGGGGAAGGGCAGAAGTGTGCGGCCCTGCTGCACGGCGGCGGCGTCGTGCGACGCATCGTCGTGGTCGTCGCTGTCCTCGGCGAGGCGTTGGCGGCCGAGAGCGATGTCCATGGCGGCCGAGGGGTGGAGCAGCCCTTGGCCGTCGGCAAGTGAACGGTAGAAGCGGGGACTGCCGTCGTCGTCGTCGTCGTCCTGCCGAGAGGCCATAGCTATACGTATGTGTGTACCTGATAGTCACCGGATGCAATGGCTGGCTGGTGGGATCATGTCAAGGGGCCGGTTTCGTCTAAAGTGGTCGTCCTGCAGCGGCCAGCATCACCATGTCAGTCGCGGGCCGGTCTGTCGGTTGCTCCTGGCGGGCACGGAGGGGTATTTGCTCCTGTCTATAAGATGCAAGGATATAGTGTCGAACCCGTCCTTGAAACGAGGTGAACCAACCTGCGGACGCAGCGATAGGGCGTCAAGTTGAGGCCGCAGGGCCAGCCCAGTCGACCGTTCCATGACAAGCCATCAATGCAGGCAGATGACCCCCCAGTGACGCGTGCAAAACTCTGAGCTAGCATCGCGAGAGCTCGTCGAAACATGTGATTGCCCCATTTGCCAAGCCCTGCCAGACCTGAAGCTTTGGCCCGCTGCAGGTCCGCCAAATCATGCGGGCCGCGGAAGGAGCACGCTGCCGAGCGAGAAAGCACCCACTGACCCATTCGCTATGACGTGCAGTAGCAGCCTGGTGCCGCCCAACACCCCGCCCTGGTCGATCTTCCATACCAGGCCCGATGCCAGGCAGCTTGCACGGCTATCGCGCAAGCGCTATCAATGTTAGGGCGGCCGACGGACTCTGCAGCACGAAAGGGTTGAGACGCCAGAATGAGTGACTTGAGCTAGAATGTTCATTCCTTCCCGCTTCATTAACTTGGAAAGTGAGTAAAAGTTGACACATAAACATGGGCTGTAAATACTATAAGATTTTATTTTCATATTTCTTTGTATCTCATGCAACATGTTTGTGAGGCAAAGTTGTTGTCACCAAGTATGCCCTGAGAAGATAGGCTGGCCGAGTTTTCCATTTTCTTCCCCTCGTGTTTGATGGAACCAAGTCCTGCATGCACGCAAGCTAGGATCCATCCAACCCACCACTCACTCGCCCAAGGCGGTGCGGCTGAGCCGTCCCCTGAAATCCATTGGCACGCATACGGCCACGCCAACCCCGGAGTTGAAGAGGCTGCCCGCCTCGATCGCCGCCCATGCTGTGTCTTTTCCGGCCTAGAGGGGCTGCTTGGCCTCTCTACGTCAGCGGGATTGTCCGTTTCGCGACATGATACATACCTAGCACGGTACATGGGAGACAACCCCCATCAGCCACCCCCATTCGCTTACCGCCCCATCTCGTATCGCGCGTCTAGCCGCTCCGCCAACGAGTCGCTCCTTGTTTTGGGCTCACCGACCTCTACCTCATTCGTTTCCCCGTCTTTCGCTGCATACCATTTTTTTTCATCTTCTATCAACCCGAGTCGCTCGTCCTTCGAGCTGCCCTCCTTTCTTCACAAACCAAACGTCGCCCGCGAACCGACAAACACCCGCACAACCCCGCGCAAAGGATGGCCATCCACTACAGCGAGGCCCCCCCGGCCGACCAGCAGACGACCCCCGCCGCCGCCGCCGCCGCCGCCAGCAGCGACGACGCCGGGCTCTTCTCGCTCGACCTCGTCTCCCCCGACATCGCGGCCCAGCTCCCCGACGGCTACCGCGTCCGCTCGCTGCGCAAGTCCGACTACGACTCGGGGTACCTCGACTGCCTGCGCGTCCTCACGACCGTCGGCGACTTTGACAGGGACGCCTGGCACGCCCGCTACGACGAGTTCGCCGCCGCCAAGGGCACGTACTACATCCTCGTCGTCGAGGACGGCGAGGGCAGGGTCGTCGGCACGGGCGGGCTGATTGTCGAGAGGAAGATGTAAGCACAATGCAGACCAGACACACACACACACACACACACACATACACACATACATACATACATACATGCACGCCAGAAGGGAAACCAGGCTGACCCTTTTTTCTTCTCTCTTTTCGTTATAGCGTCCACAACCTCGGCTCGGTCGGCCACATCGAGGACATCGCCGTCGCCAAGGACCAGCAGGGCAAGAAGCTGGGCCTCCGCATCATCCAGGCACTCGACTACATCTCGGAGAGGGTCGGGTGCTACAAGAGCATCCTCGACTGCAGCGAGAAGAACGAGGGCTTCTACATCAAGTGCGGCTTCAAGCGCGCCGGCCTGCAGATGGCGCACTACTACGAGGACGGCAAGAGTAAAGCCACCTGAGCTTTCTTTTTTTCTGTCTTGTTTGTTTCGGTCTCGACCATAGCTTTCCCGCACTCACGAGGACGGGAGCGGGAATCGGGGGACATGCATACCCATACCCATGACCGACCTTACCTTTGTCACTGCGACAAACGGTAGCCGCTGCTCGCTTTGACCTCGACCGCCACAAATTCCGCACAGCTGCTGATGTCTCCCCCTTTGGCACAACAGAGACGAAGCTTTGAAGAGGGCGTTGCGCCTTGGCGTGTAGGCCACATACATCTTGCATCTGACAGCTGTCAGGCCCGAGGGCAAGGAGGCTGGGTCGTTTGTGCTATGAGCGCGCGGGTTGACGATGTATACGTGTATAACGACGATAGAAGAGCGCACATGAATGCCATGGACCGAATTGATCGTGTCACTGCCAATATTTGCTGGGGCGCTCTAACCCCTATCCCAAGGAGAACCAACCGTTCCGTGCCCTTCCCGGAACAGAGATCCGCTGCGACCCAAAGAGGCGATGTATACACGTAGGCAGAAGGTTATAAGAAGCCTGTGCTCGACAACCACCACCTACTCGCACCGGGAGGGAAGCTGTCCGAACCTATCAGGAGTTGCACCGGGTCACGTTGGCCATGTTGGTGGTGTTGACGGCGCCTCTGGAGAGCATACTCACCGTCCCCAATATTTAACCAACCTCCTTCCAGGTGGAAGTGATATCAAGGACACAAGCACATAAGACCATACCGACTGGAATATACGGGATCCCGTCCGCTCTCCCCTAAAGCCATTGTTAATCCTGCTATGGCTATACAAGAATAAGGACGGTGTTTAGTAGGCAGCCACAAAAAACGCTTTCCATCCCAGGTAATCCATGTTCGGTTACAACTGATGCTGATACCTTTAATGCCTTTTGTCACACGGGGATGCCCCTCGGCATCGTTGTCCTGCTGATCAGACATGATGCTGAGGGAAAAGTCAGCACACGCTCGAGACGAGCGTACTCGAGGGGAGGACAGAGAAGAGCGATACATACACGACGAGAGTGATGGCGGCTCGAGGAACGTAAAGAGAAATCCCGAATCGCGGATCTCAGTCCATGAAGTGCTTGAGGTGCTTGATTTATAAAATATTTTTTAATATATAAATTTTAATATTTCTTTATTTATTTATTTATTAAATAACCGTTTGTTAAAATATTCCAAAAATAAAGTATATGCTAAATCTTTTATTTAAATTGAAAATAAAACTTATTCCATTTTAATGCATGCACTGGGGTAAAGTTATAGCGTTTTAAAGTGGTAGCGTTTAAAATGGGTAGCGAGCTGTCCTCCCACTGTAGGCGCGAAAGCGCGGAGGCCGCGAGGCAAGCATAAAGGGACGAGCGGTGGAAGCATGCAGGTTGAAGGGCAAACTGCAGGTTTGGTAACTGATCGTTGTTGTGGGAAGAAAAGGAACAACTAATTGCTAGGGATGCGGTTGATTACCAAGTTGGTCATACCGAGCGCGCAGTCCCTAACCATGTCAAAGAACAGAGATCAGCCGGCAGCGGGATCTCCGCCAAGCTGGGTAATCCACCAGTCGCGCAAAGTCCCCTCCACCCACTTGCAAAGCTCTACCAATACAGCAAACAAGGGATACAAAGTCTCCATCCTGGCAGTGCTGCCAAGCGAGATAGGACCGACAATCTCAATCATGTGGCCGCGATCGCATGCGAAGTACAAACTCCAATCAAAGCCGTTGCAAAGAATAAGGGGCAGGGTGATAAGCTGATCTGTGTATCCCAAGTCCCTCATGCGGCGGTGCCAAGCGGCCGTCCAAATACCGAGCTGGAGGGTGCCCTCCATATAGGTGGCGTTGGCAATGCTCACCCCAATTGGACTGAAGACTAGTGGGTCGTAAAGGGTTTGGTTGATCGACTGCGACTCGTAAGTCTGGCATCCCACCACCCTGACGACGGCGTTTTCAAGCACCTGATCGCGTGGGCGCGGATTCTGAAGGTCGAGTGCCAATACAAAATCGACCATTTTGCCACTTGCAACCTCGTCCGGCTTGCGGGCCATCTCCGGAAGCCAATGGCTGGCAATGCCTTCACCCATAACCGGCTCACAAACAACGCCGCCGCGAGAAAAGGAGCGCGTTGCAAGCTGGAGCAAAGGGCAATGCGCCAGGCAGTTCCAAGCCAGCTTGTTGCGCCTCTGCCCCCAGAACCTCCCGGCGGTGGCCACGATTTCGTGCAAGGCCTTGAACTGCATTTCTGCGCGCGCGAGCTCGGGAGTTCCTTGAGCATCGTCTGATCGGAAAAACCAATGATCCGGCCATCCTTTTCCATCAGGTAGCTCCCTTTTGATGATGTCGCGAGCCATGGCAGGGATGAATGCTGACTGGTAGACTATGATGCGTTTGATCTCAGAGAGCAGGCTGTGGGCGCTGGCGGGGATCTGGGCGAAGCGGTCTTCGGAAAGTGCGACGAACTTGACGGGCTTGGCGAGGAACAGCAAGGTGCCGGATCGCACAGGTATTGTAATCCTAGATTTCGATCTCGATGACGTCTCGGAGCCTGGCTTGGAGCTGGAGCGGCTGGTCGACGCTTGCAGCTCGGACAGAGGGAGAGGCAAAGGGGCGAGTGGCTGCTGGCTGACCGATTGCAGCTGCTGGTATTGCAGCTGCTGGTATTGCAGCTGCTGGTATTCTTGGCTTAATGGGCGGATGGCGATAGGGACCTGCTGCCCATGCCCACCGGTATTGGACCCTGACTTGGGAATCAGCTCGTCGTAGCCATCACCGTTCTCGTCGTCGTTATCCCGCTTTCTCTTCTTGGGCGAAAAGGAGGCAGGAGGGGTAGGCATTATGCCTGGGTCGTTATGCGGCTCGCACGCGTCGCGCACGTTGATTAGCCACGGAATGACTTTGCTGGCTTCCATGCTGCTTCAAGTTTTCGGTGGTGGCTGCCACGATTGCTTGTTGTATTTCGCGTTGCCTGTCTACGACATGAGATTGACGTAGCAGCCGGTTGCCGGGGCCCACTGCCCGAGTAGTTAGCTTAGCCAAGGTGGGCGACCACAAAACGTATACAAAAAATACAAAAAATACAAAAAATACAAAAAATACAAAAAAATACAAAAAATACAAAAAATACAAAAAATACAAAAAAAACAAAAAAACAAAAAATACATAAAATATATGATTATTTTATTATTTTATTATATTTATAAATATACTTTTTTATACTTATATTTATGCATTTACACAGGATTTTATATTCCAAGTCGGGAATCCTCGCAATCCTTTGCATGAGTATGTAAGTGGACGCCTTCGAGCTTCTCAGTTTATCCTCCCGGGGGCTTATCGCTTGTCTGCGGAGGGGACCGTAAGCCAAAGTATTTTGGCTGGCAGGCATCCTCAGAACAATGTAGTGACTGTGGACTCCTCGGCAGACCTTGGAGATGCTCCGCCGCCATATCCTGTAGCAAATTGCTCCCCTTTCGCTGTCATTAATATCATTTCGCATGGTAGGCAGATCCAGCCCTTCCGGTACAGAGAGAGGCAAGGCTGCAATGTAATATCGTAGATTTACTATTCAATGCTGTCGTACAGTGAAAGGATCAGTGCGTTGCGCCAGATCCGGTCTGCAATGTTTTGTCGGGCAAGGTTTGGCTGGGAGCAAAGGGGAAGGCGCACGCAAACCAGTCGCCGTACGACGACTAGTTTCGATCACAAAGATTCACTTGGTCACTGCATGGTTGGTGTAAATGTATATTGACAGAGCAGGCACACACAGTAAAGAGCAGGGAAATATATGTATATAACCCCTTTTCTTCTACCCCTTTTCTTCTACCCATTGTTTCAATACCACCAAATGCAAGCCTGCAAGTCCCAAAAAAAAAAAAAAAAACACCCGCTACCTTCCCATCCAGCCGCCGTCGACAACGAGCACATGGCCGCTGACGTAGGCGGCAGCCTTGCTGGCGAGGTAGACGGTGGTGCCCTTGAAGTCCTCGGGCCTGCCCCAGCGGCCGGCGGGGATGCGGGCCGAGATGCTGGCCAGGCGCTCGGGGTCGTTCAGCAGCGCCTCGTTCATGTCGGTCTCGATGTAGCCCGGCGCGATGGCGTTGACGGTGACGCCGCGGCTCGTTCCACTCGTTGGCGAAGGACTTTGTCAGCTGCGCGACGGCGCCCTTGGACGCGGCGTAGGCGGGCACCGTCAGCCCTCCCTGGAAGCTGAGCAGGCTCGCGTAGCTGACGACGGAACCCCTGCGGCCCGTGACGGGGTGGGGTGCCAGGGACAGCATGTGGGCGCCCACGTCGCGCGTCAGGGCCAAGACTGCGCCGAGGTTGACCTGCATCACCTCGGCCAAGTCGGCGTCCGGGAAGGCCTCGCACCTGTGGCGGCGCTGGACCCCAGCGCAGTTGACGAGCACGCGCACCTCGTGCCCGTCGGCCAGCACCTTGGGCGTCAGGGCCGCCACTGAGGCCGGGTCCGACAGGTCGGCCGTGTAGATTTGGGCCTTGCGGCCGAGGGCAAGATGGCGTCGCGGGTTGCGGTGGAGGATTCGTCGCGCTGTTTTATTTTTGTTTTTGTTTTTCGGGGGAAGGGGGTTTTTTTTTTGGTGGTGATTGTGATGACGGTTGTTAGTTGCAGATCGTCTCACCTCATGCGGGGTAATATTACTTTTGCTGCAAGGGCGCGACGACGACTAACCTGCACGAGCAGCACGTCGGCGCCGGCCTCAGCCAGCCCGATGGCTACGGCCTGGCCGGTCCCCCGGGTGCCGCCCGTCACGAGCGCGGTGTGGCCTTGGAGCGAGAACATTTTTCTTTTTCTTGTTCGGGGTGGTTTTGAGGGGAAGCTATCTCGACGGGGTTCTGTTGGTCCCACCTGATCGAGGCCTGGGATTAATCCCCAATGCACGTCCCCCTCCACCATCACAATCCCTGTTCAGCCACAGAGCATGGGGGTCTGGTTGTTGGCTCGGCACGGCCGGATTAGAAAAAAACGGAACACTTTTCCATTTTTGCCCCTGTGCATATACCATTACCAAATGAAAAGTGCTCCGTTTTTTTTTTTTTTTACCAGACCGTGCTCGGCTCCCTCCCTGGCTCCCCGGCTCCCTCCCCGGGGCATGGCAAGGCTGCACTTGGCTGCCACACCTCACAGGCGCGATGCCTCCGGCACGATGTCTTCCCATTGTCATGACGTCGCCTTGCTTCTCCCCCTAGTCGTATATGTCTATAGATAGTATTATTGAACGCCTCAGATGCATATTGAATGCAGGGCGAGGCTCGTTTGGCAACCTGATCGTGTCCCAAGTGTCCCAGTGTCCCAGTGTCCTGGCAACGCGACTTTCTCCTCCTTCATCCTGCGGTCCGATCTTTGCCCCTCTGCGGAGAGAAAAGAGGCTGCCATCTGTTTGCCCCCTCCTATTGGCTCAGGCAGCAGTGCTGATATCCCTTGGAGCCTCTGAAAAGACCCTCAACGAGATACACAAACAGCCTCGTCCCATGTACTTCTGCTCGGCTGTGACTCTTGCGATATCAACAGTTAGCTAACCTCTTTTGCCCTGAAAGAGTGCCTATATAAGGGCGTCTACCCCTCTCTCTGGGTTCCTTCTTGAGTTGGACTTGCAACAACAACGACAACAACTCTCTTTCCAACCCTGACACTCAGCTCAGAGCTACCCCAGACGACTCTCCACCTCCCAGTCTACTATAGACACAATACTGATCTCCTCCAGCGTCATCTTCCATCCTCACAACCACCCGCCACTCAAGATGCGTCTCACATCCGTCCTCGTCTCGGCCCTCATCGGCCTCGCCGCAGGCCAGAACCCCGTCACCTTCCAGACCCAGGGCACCGTGGACGGCGGCTTCGCCATCCCCGAGGACGTCGCGCCGGGCATCTACAAGGTCTTCATAGACACGGCCGGCGTCGCGCACCACGAGAAGATCGGCGAGCCGGGCGCCGGCGCCGCCCCCGCGTCCCGCATCGCCGAGACTGCAGCCGCCGCCGCCGTCCGGGACGGCGACAATGCCCAGCTGACACTGGAGCCGCGGCTGGCGGCGTCGGCCAAGCTCGGCAAGCGCCAGGACGTCTTCTGGCAGTACAAGTGCCCGGACGGCAAGGACCGCGACCACACGCTCAACCACACCGACCTGACCGACGCCATCGACGACCTCAAGAACCAGTGCGGCGACGACCTCAAGGTGCCCTCGGGCTGGCACATCTACGCCACCCGCGGCAAGGTCGCCGCCTTCTTCTGCAACTTCCAGGGTCTGACCAACAACTGCAACCGGAACACCGTCGAGACCAAGCGCAAGGACATCATCCGGGAGTGCGGCGATGACTGGGTTGCCGGCTGGGCTGACTGGGTAAGTTCGTTTTCTTCCCTTGGACGGCATTTGCCCCCAACAAATGACATGAAATGGGAAAGAAACTGACCGGGTATGCGCAATCGCTCCAGATCATGTACATCCCCGGCCACTCGTGGAGCAGCCTGTTCAGCTACGGCTACCACTCCATCGGCGACAGCAAGAACTTCTGTGGCCGTGACCACTAAGGTACTCAGCTTTGGCTCACAGCCTTCACATTGGGATTGATTGGCTTTTGGGGATGGTTGCTTTGGTTAAATTGAGCCCAAGATTCTTTTGGAGTTTGGGGATAACCGGATAGGGGTAGCAAGGACCTAGAACAGACCACAGAGCATTGTTTTTGATTTCGGAATCACTTGACCCTCCAGGTCCAAACCCTCACTTCCTGCACTCGCAGTCCTAGACCCATCGCTTCAGAAGATGTGCATGTCCGACCTGTAGTGACGGAAGGTTGTCTGGATCCCCGTGAGATCCCCGCGCCTCCGTGGCATCACTTTCAAGGCAATCAGCCTGCATGACGGGGAGACCTCCGACAATGCCCGGGCCCCCCCACGAGACCCTGCAGGCCAAGTTCTCGTGAGGCTCCGCCTGATGCAGTGGGTGGCTGATGATGCCTGGATCCCCGTGAGGTCCCCGTACCCGGCAGAACAAAAGGTTTTCCGACGCAACCCTGGCCGGCGACGGAACTATGGTAGGCAGAGAGTAAAAAGGATTTGGGTACAATGCAAATTTTATTGGGAGCCGTAGTTTCTCAACACAAGAGGGGGGGTTGGCAAGGCATACAATCCAACACCTGACGCCAGTGCTCGCACGTTTGCTGCTGCTGCCCGCACCGACATGGGATCGACTGCAGCTCCTCGGGGAGGGCGCGCGACGGCTCCTCGTGGATGATGGAAGCAGGGTGAGCTCGAGCTCATTGAAGAGGGAGAGAAGACACATAATCCAACACCTGACGCCAGTGCTCGCACGCTTGCTGCTGCTGCCCGCACCGACACAGGATCGACTTCAGCTCCTCGGGGACGCCGCGCGACGCCGACTCGTGGATGAGCAGGGTGAGCTGGAGCTGGTCAAAGAGGCGGAGGGCGGGCCCGACCGATTCGTAATCGCTAGAGACGAGGACGCGGCTTAGCGACAGGACGAGGAGGTACGCGGGCTCGAGGTCCCGGAAGACGGAGTCGGCCAGCTCCGGCTCCGCGCGGATGAAGGCGCGGATGCCCCTGACCAGCCGCTGCGGGCGCGCGGCCGGGTCCTCGCCCTCCTGGAGGTGCCACCACGAGTCCGTGTTCCCGACGTTGGAGGCCGCGCGGAGCAGCGCCTGGTGGGACTCGTAGGGCGCCGTGGAGGTTGCCATGCTGGTCTCGGGGCCGTTCCGGAGCAGAAACGTCAGCAGACTGGTGTTGGACATGGTGATGTTATGTTTCTAGATGGCGTTGTTCGAGAATAGTTTTGGCCAAGGTAGACGGTAATGTCGAGTATAGATGATGCCGAGTGTAGATGATGATACAAAGTGTAGATGGTGATGCCGAACGCCGATGCTGGATGGATGCTGGTCGTTACATGCATATTTATACATTTTCCTTGCGCCCTGTCTTTACTTTGTTTCTTCGTCAGGCCCTTTTGTCGGCGACCCTTGCGCTGTTTTGCTTTTGATTCACTCGCACAAAGCATCTGAGCATTCGTTTGTAAAGCCACCTCGTCATTGATGCTGTTTGCTGCCACGTTGTCCGCGCAACACAGGATGCATGCACACGCACACGCACACAAACGATAACCAGAGTGTTGGCTCTCACTAGCATGGATTGCTTCGTATTCTCTCAAAGGTATCAATCTGCTCTAAAGGGGTATAATAATGTTGTCGGCAGAGAAGGAAAAACGCATGTATATGGGGTGGGCAGCAGCCAGACTGTCAGTGGTATGACGATGTCCCTGACCCGATTCTAGAAGTTGTGTATAACGAAACCAAGGCAGCAGACGGGCAGCGGTATAAGGGATACATGTACAGCGAGGAAGTGGATGGCAGGATGGGGAGTGATTAGTGAATGGCAGGATGGGGAGTGATTAGTGAAGAGTGGTGAACCGCTGCAGTCAAAAAGGTGTTGTGGTTCATGGTGGGTTGATGCTCATGATAGGTACAAGAGGCGAACAAAAAAGGTGGCGGCGTCGCCCAGTTCAGCCAAGCTTGCCATATGGCGCACCCAAGTTGCTGGAAGGCTTGAGCTGGATGCTGTCAGGGTCCGGGACGCCACCCCGGGCAATGTTCGCCCTGAACTCCTCGCTGTGTGCGGCCTCTGTATAGCCCACCCGGCCTTCCTGCTGCATGATCTCCGATCGGTCCTCGATGATCTCCGATCGGTCCTCGGCAGCATCGGGAGTTGTCGAGGCTTGGGCTGCCGAGAGAGCAGGATCAAGAGACGAGAGAGCAGGATCAAGAGACGAACATGGAGACCGAGAAGGCGAAGGTGGAGACAGAGGCCTCGCAGTATACCTCGGTGACCTGAAGCCAGGCCAAATAATGGGAGCTCTCGAGTCAACATGGGAGCTGGTCCCACCTAGGCCCGTTGAAGAGGGCGCGGCACCAGCTGCCGTCTTGTGCGCGACTCCGGCACCAGCCACTGCACCGTTCTAGTGTGAAGGATGGCCTCGGATCTCTCCCAGGGGCGCCCCGAAGTTACTGGTCTTCCTGATGCGAAGAGCAATCTCGAGGCTCGTGTCGGGCTCGCTCGGGCTGGAGGCCTGGGACGAATCCAGAGTCTTGGACTCGCGCTTCTGCTCGCCGGCTTTCGCAGCGGCTCCGCCCGAGGGTCCCGCAGGAGTGTCATTCTGGAGAACCTTGGGCAAGGCATCCTCCGTCTCTCCCTTGCTGACGTCCTCGAGCTTCTTGTCAAGCAGATCAAAGAACCTGGCGTCCTTGGCAGGGAGGTTCCTCAGGGTCAGAGGCCCCGTCAGCGGCGGCGGACCCTCGCCCGTGGCCAAGGTCGGGCCACCTGAAAGCTCGGTAGCCCCCTTACCGACGGGCGGCTCGACGGGCTCTTCCATGGCTCTCTCTTTGCCCTTGCTGGCAACACCGCTGCTGCTGCTGTCGTCGAAGCCCGTTGCGGTTGTCGGGGTCACCTCACCACTGCTACTGGCAGTGGTTTGGACCTCGGTGGACGCTCCAGACGGAAGCACCGAGAGCGAGTGATTGGGGGTGTGGCCTGCATTCATCCGGAGACGCTCAGGCTCGGAAGCGGCGAGCACCTTGAGCGGATCCTTCTCCGAGACCTTTCGCGGGTTGGCGTCCGGACGCTGGTCATCCGGGGCCACATTGTTGAGAGTGGGCGAGGTCTCGGTCGAGGTCGGCTTGGAACCAGCCGCGGAGCCCTCGTGGCTGTTGTCTCCATCGATGAAGGTGGCCTTCTGGAGGGCCGTCTTCTTGAGCGGAATCCCCTCGAGCTCGGGGTGGATGTCCTGGACATCGATGGTGGGAGCGGGCTGCTCGTCCTCAGAGTGGGAAGCGGAAGACATGGCGGTAGCTGGATGTTGTTGTTCTGATGATGCGGCGGTGGGAAAGCTGGTTGGGTGCGGTTCTTGCGCAAGTGGTATGAATGGCGACGACTCTGGCTGTCTAGACGGACTGATACGCGTGGTTGTGGTTGTAGGTAGGTTGGCAGAAGTTTTTGGGTCGGCCTGGGACCGAGAAGCTTGTGACTGGTATGGGACTGTCTGAGTCGCGCCCACCCTAGGGCCCCGATGTTGGGGTCCACCCTGAAGCGAAGACAAGACCGTCGAGGTGCTGCCCGGAGATGCAACGTCATTGCTTCCGCCGCCTCCTCGCAGAGACGGGCCCAGACCTCCTTCCTCTGGGATGCTTTCGACGTGGCCGAACCTGCTGCCGGACCTCATGGTCTTGGCCTGGTCCTTCAGTCTAACTATCTCGTCCATCAGCGCCACGCGTTCCGCCTCCCACTCTGTCCGCTCCATGTCCATGATTGCTCTTTCCTCCTGGTACACCTCCTCGGCGCGAGACCGGTTGGCTTCGAGGTACCTCCGCTCGCTCTCCCACGCCTGGCGTATCAAGGTGTTCTGCTTCTCGAGCAGGGCGATCCTCTGATTCTGGGCCTGCTGGCCGGCCACGGGCAGCAACACGTCCCCCGAGCCCTGGCGGGCTTGGAGCATGGGAGGCTGGGCGTGGTTGTAGGGTGCCGAGGGGAGCTCCACAGGAGCGGGCGCGGGGACTCCGGGGTAAGGAGCGACGGCGGCGTTGAGGGGCACCATGACACTCGAGAAGGGAACGCGGGACGGGGAAGCCACGGCTGAGTGGTTCCTCATGGCTGAACCAACAGGAAGGGACGCGGAGCGCCTGGTGGGCGAGAGGCTGGCGGAACGCTGCTGCTGCCGTGTCTGCTGCCTCAGCTGGCGGTCGATCTGTGTCGAGGTAGGGGCGAGCCTGGGAGAGATGAACTGGGAGGCTTGCGAGGAGTATGGGCCGGCAGACGAGGCGCTCCTAGCGAGAGAGGAGGCAGAGGGCGGTGCTTGTTGTTGTGTCTGGGCAGCGGCAGCGGCGGGTGCGAGACTGCCGCCTGGGTAGTACGAGCGCATGGGGCCAGGGCCGTCGTTCGCAGCAGGCAGGTGGTGGTGGTGGGCTTCAAAGTACTGGGCGGCACCGCGGGGAAGGGCCAGCGGCGATATGACGGACGAGTGATGGGCTGGGACCATGTCGGGGAAGGCGGCCAGATGCATATCGTCATGGACAGCACCCGAGGATAGGAAGGAGTCGTTGGCCGCCCTCGGCATGGTGGGCGGCAGGTATTGTAGGGCAAGCATTGACGACGCGTGGGGGGGCCAGGTGGGTGGCACACGACTCTGACCGGCAGGCGGCGGGTGCACATGGACGACGGGAGGGATCAACAGCGGCGAGGCGCAGCAGCAGTCACCCGGGGTCCTTCTTTCTTGGGGTCTTGTTGCCGGCAGCGCTGCTTGCGTCTCTTGTAGGCCTTGTTCTCGAGTCGGATCGGGAGGGTACGAGGGTACGAGGGAGAAAGAAGGGCGGTCGGTTCGATCGTGGGTACAACGGGGACCAGGCAGGTAGGTGTAAGTGCGTTCTTTTAGCAGCCAAGATTGTACCTGCAGCAGGATACTGCCCGCTTTCACCGTTACTGTGCTAGCCCGCTCGTAGTTTTTTACTTTTGTGTTGTCCCAGTTCCGCAGGTTCGGCAGGTATCGGGCTCTGAGGGTCCAGGCTGCCAATGCCCAAATCGTCAGGAACGGACAGGGCTTGGAGCTCGGGGGGCTTGGCCGGGTGGGTGCTTGTCTGCTGTGCTGGCAGGCGGTGGGGCCTCTCGGGAGGAAAAATGACGTTGAGGGAGAGCGTGCGGGTTTGCGAGCTGTCGGCTGTCTGTGGGTTGTGGACGCGAGGCGCGAGCTTGAGAAAAAAGCGGAGCTGTTGGGCGCGCTTAGGTCACGGCGGTGGGGAGGACGACGGTTCCTGCCTCTGTCCTTTGTTACTGCGTACTGCCTTGGTCAACTGGTGCCTCGCAGGCGTCTTGGGTTGGTTCCTGGAGATGGCGGATCGAGTTCTCGGCGGTTAGACTTGTTTACAATGTGCGCTGCAACTGAGCCTGTGTTGGTGAGTGAGTCTGCATGGCAGCCACCAACCTTTACAAGCCAAAAGCATGTGAATGTCGCCTTGGTGCAGCACATTCCAGCGTTAACCTACCAGACACTACAGGCTGAGGGATCAAGCTCGAGGCGCGAGTAGCAAACAGAATCCGTCCAAGCCAGGGCGGGATCTCGTGGATTAAAAAGGAGCGGCCACAGACACAGTATTGGGGCTCAAGGGGGCGAGTCGTCATGGGCGGGAAAACGGCCGGGTAATAAGCCAGACAGCTAAGGACGGGGTGGTGTGAGTGTGGGCGTGGGTGTGGGCGGGGTGGGCGTGGGCGTGGGCGTTGTCCCCAGATGCCTCTGCCTCCGCCTCCTCCCACCCACTTACTTGCCTGTGCTCCGTTTTTGCTCCAGTCACCCGTCGAATGGCTGGGGCTTGCTACAGTGCTGCAGCATCATTACCTGCCGCCTTCTTCACTCCGCTTCTGCAATGTTGCGCTGGCCTTGCGCATCCTCTCTGGCAGCGCCCATTTGGTTGGGCGAAGAAGACATGATGCTGCCCAGTCCCAAAAAAGGTGCGCAAGGGTACCTGCACTGGTGGGTTTGACTGGGCGAAACTGGGGTGTCACGCTACGAGAGGGTGTGAGACGTGGAATCCAATGGGCGAAAAGCCGCACTGCAAAGACTGCGGTTGAGCTGATTCCCATCAGCAAGGAGGAGGGGGGGGGGGGGGGGGGCGGGGACGACGAC